ATTAAAATTAATTGACAATGAAAGAAGAGTAACTCATGTCGGTTAAAAACTTTTGTTAGATCTCTGATCCTTTTAACCTGAGATCCTCAACAACCTCAACAATCTAAATATAAATTACAATCATTTAATTTCTTATTTTTATTTACATGCCTTTCATCAAAAGTAAATCCAAACTAATGAATGGGTGGAGACTGTGGTGAAGGTTGCTTAGCTTCAAACAATTTTAAAGAGTAAATAATTAAAGTAAAATATTGTTTTGAAACGATTCTAGATTAAAGGTGAAAATGAAACTTCTTTTTTTAAATTCCCAATATCGAGACGTCGTGTGGTTTAAGCTACCAGATCTCTATAACCGAGACTGAAACACAAACTAATTTAGAACTCAAACACAAAACCTCATGGTAGATTATACCACAAGGTCCCATGTTTCTATCACTACACCATCAAACTTATCACTTGAACCTTATTTATTCGCTCTACTTCATATTGAGTTGTGTGAGATGTGTTTACAAAACTCGTACAAAACTCAGTAGTTAGCTATTGGCATATACTTCGATATTTTAGTCAGAAATATAGAAATAAATGTCTTTTAACTTTGATATCGGTGGAACTCGCATTGCATGTCGGTTTTATTTTGGGAATCATTAAAATAAAAGGCTTTTCATTATAGTTAAAAGCCAAGGGCATGAATGCGAATGCGGTGAAACTGAAGGTGAAGTTGACGGGCAGTGGACAGGGAACGGGCAGCAGCCCGGAGCCTAGCGTTTCGGGAGTCCACGTGGCATCCGTTGCTTGCCAGCGTCATCACTTCCATTTATTCCACGCCACTAAGTTTTCCACGTCACCCAAAATCCAGTGGGCCCCAACAGCCCACAGCAGAGGCGGATATTCCCCGCCTCGTCAGGAATTATTCCGTCCGCATATGCGAATATCCGTTGCCGCCACCTTCCAATTAATTAAATTTAATTCTATTTTTCAGTGACCATTCTACCCCTACTAAACTTTGCTTATTCACCACTTTGCCCGTCCATACGCTTCCTTGTGGAATTGACCGAAATGCCCTTCCCCGTCGTCGGATGGAATTCAAAATTTGGACAACTGTACCGAAATTGTTGTCTGCGTTTCCTTCCATTAAAAGAAACTAATTTTAATTTTAATTTTTAACTATGTAATTTGTGCTTGATAAGGAAAAAAAGATTTATAATATTCTTTTAGGAAATAAAATTAGAAAATTTTAGTTTTCTACCACTCAACTTGCCCCGTAAATTTTTTATCCTAAACTTTCAATTTCATCGACGGACCTTAGACTTAGATGAATGGATTACAAATGTCATTTTGATCTTAACTTAGTGGATAAAGCACATATTATCGTGGATGGTTCCATCATCCACTATATATCTTTTAAATTCAAAAAACATTTACATATAAATACGTTGTACAGGCTTAAAAAAGAGACAACATTAAGATCAACTTTTTTGTTGGAAGTGAGATAAAATTATATTTGAGAGTTCATTTAATGGTCAGTTTTTGCATTGATTTACTATGTTTTTTTTTTACAATATATGGGAGTGAAAATTCGATTTTTTTTTTTTGACCAGGTCTATGTTGGCAATTTACTATGACTTGATTTTATGTATTGATTTGTTAGTGCTTGATTTTCTATGAAATTAATAGGTTTTGAGAGTTTTTAATTATTTCTGAAAAAATTGGAGGGTGGATTTGTGTTGTGTTTTTAATTAAAAATGTAGTGTAAAAATTAAGTCACATTATTAAGTTATTAAGTTGAAGAGTAAAAATTGAAATTTTTTTCTCATTACTAATTCGACAGACATATGGGTAGTACATTTAAATTAGTAAAAAAAAACATATAAATTTAAATATTCACTATATGAGCAATTAATAAAGTTTTTGAGGTGTAAACCTACCCATTTCAACACTAAATCCACGAGGAAAAATTCCATAACAATATTATAAAATAAAAGAAATACAAAATTTCTTGATTTCAAGACATTTTTTGAAATGAACCTCATTCAGCTGATCAGAATATTTTTTATCTCCTTGATTTTAGAGATTTAAATCTCTATCAACTTGAATCGTTGAATTAGAGGGGTGGATGCAGGATTTGAATTCGAGCTCCGATCTTTGACCTCCAACAAATTTATATATCGATATGTTGCTAAGCTCAACATATTTCAATATCTTAATCTGACAAAGGATTTAGGATTTGGATTCGAGCTTCGACCAACACTATCTTCTTATTTATAGATGAAGTCTCCTCATTTGAATAGATCAACTCATTCAAGTCTAATTCAATTGAATTTGATCAGATTTTTAGCCTCGTTTCAAGTGAACATAGCACAAAGTATTTACCCATAACAAGTGGTAAAAAAAATAGCGATCCAAAACATATCATATCATTTAATTTGTAGTATTAGGAATAGGAAGTGATGTGATGCGAATATGGAATATTGAATGGAACGAATTTTATATGTAATGTGAGGATGGAGTGTACGGTCGCGGTGAGGGACGATAGGACTAGGAGGGATAATTATTGGAACAGCATGATTTTGGTGTGGGCCCCCATGGAAGACAAAGACGGGCGTGTCTGTTACTGTAACATTAGCTTAGCTGTGCCCTCTGAATTTTTTTATTTGTTATTTTTCAGTGATTATTGATTTCAAAATCCTAACACAAATTAATCATTCTAACGTTAAAAAATATGACAACATTTCATTTTTGGATCAAACTTATAATCTTTTGATTGGAGATATATGTCAACTACCGCTGAACTATGTTACTTTGTTTTGTTATATAGCTTTTATAACCATTTTCAAAATCTAGGCCAAATTTTGAAAATAAAAAAGAGTAGTTTTCAAAAACTTATTATTATTTTTGAAATTTGGCTTAGAATTATGTCATGAGAGAGATGAAAAGTTAATCAACGAAATTGTTAAAAAACAAGGATATATATTTTTTTAAATCAGAAAACTAAAACCAAAAAATGATTATCAACCAACATTTTAGGTATTAAAATAGAAGAATATCCCCTTCCACATTATTTAAAATAAAAAAAAAATCCAAAATTGTACTAGAGAAAAGTCTTACAAAGGGGACCAAAAATTGGAATTATCAAATTGGGAAGTGCTTTTGCAAAAAGTTGTAATATTTGATAGAGATTCCACAGGCAACCAACACCAATAATTGGAAATGCATGCAAATCTCAACCCATCAAATTTCATCAAATTTGGACAAATTTGTATTTGAATTGAAAATGAAGGGTTCTATATCCTTTTCATAAGCTTATCAATTTCCATTTCTTGTCTAATTCTTATATATTTTTATATTTATATTTTCTGAAAAGCCAACTCATATACCATTCTACAATATGACAAGCTACATTTCAAAATTATTTTTATTTAGTTTTTAATATAGAAGATAATCTATTCAATCATGTTTTTTCTTTTATTATTATTTAAAAAAGGTCTGCTTTCTAGGTTCAAGATAAGAAAGAATCATTCACATTTATTTTCCGAAAAACTAGCAAATTAGAAAATTGGTTCTTGTGATGTGATCAAGGAGTAAATCAATGAGTTTATAAAAATTATTTCAATTAAGAATTAAATTATTTTCATTCCCATCTAATATGCTACAAAATATTCTTACGTGGTTAATGAACTTTAAATTTTGTGTTAACATACCATTATCGAAAACTTGTCAACTGAACAAAAATTATATGCCACGTAGACATTATTTAAAAATTACGTGGGGTAGACAAATAGTTCGAATTAGTTCGAAAAACACTAATTAAATTACATGTCATTTGTTTACCCTCTATCCAATGTCTAAACTCACATTAATGACAATGACTTATTAAACACAAAATTGAAAATTTAAATTTAAAGGTGTATTAAAACTTTTAAAATATAAAAAATAAATTTATATTCATCTAAAAAGTTTCACTTCTACCATTGAAATATATGAGATGAACAAGATAAATGTTAACTTCTAATCAAGTCAGATATTTTGGATTATATACTTTTCGTGTAGCTTTAACATATTTTTCAAAGTAGCTTTCAAACTTTTTGAAAAACTAATTACATGAAAAAGACCATAGATATTGAATTATTGGGGTTTGATCAAGTGTTTTTGGAAATTTTAGAAATATTTAGTGGCATTATATCCAAATATTTTAATCAATGGTTAAATTATCGACGACGACTATATATATGTAGCTTTAATTTTTGGGGAATTTTTCAAAATACTCTAAGACTTTTTTAGTTGGAAAATTTTCTTCCTATTTTTTCGTTAAAGGAAGCGTTGAAATGCTAAAAAATATGTCTATCGTGAAACTTTGTTCGATCTTTTAACTTTTCATTGTAATATTAGGCCTCTTTAAATCTATTAATATTCAAATAGTAACATCTCTCTTTATTACATCTTTATATTTCTATTATATCATAAAAAAAAATCAACAAAATACATTTAGAAAAAAAAATACTTGTCCTCACCATCGTTGAAAAATTGACAACTTATTAATCCTCACCGTTAAAGAGTCGAGTATTTTTCTTTAAAAAATATCAAAACGTACATTAAATTCAATAGAGGGAAAAAAAATAAAATTACAACCATTGTTCAATAAATAAAATACTTATTATCATTTTTGAGTTGATATTTTGATTTCTCGTTCTCACACAGCAATTTTTGAATTAAAAAAAAGGACAAAATAAAAATTATTAATAAAAAAACGATACGATAGGGAGAAAGAGAAAGAGGAAAGAGGAACTATAAGCGGTTTCTTTTATTATTTCCAATTAAAGAAAAGGAAAAAAAACTGCAGGGGTATTTTCGTCCGAAGGGAACCCATTTGAGGGAAGGAAACTGAAATGGGATTAGAAAACGAGGGAAGGGCTTTAAGGTAATTTCACAAGGGCAAAATAGTGATTGCCATCGGCTATTAAGAATCCGCCGCATAGAGTTCCATTGTCTATATGAGAAGAAAGAAAAAAAATATAAATAAATAAAAGGAGGAGAAAACTGAGCGAGCGACTCTGTTCGTTGAGAGATCCTGAAAACAAGGCAGAGGGAAGCTTTAGAGAGAGAGAAATCGAGATTCAAGAGCTCAGGAGAGAGGAATATAGCGCGCAGAAAGCCCAACGACCCCATTTTTTTCGATTCTAAGGTGCAGTTTCTACCAAAAACATAATATGCGTATCTCCCAAGTCAATATGTTTTCTTCGTTTCTAATCTTCTTTCTGTTCGAATTTCCTTCGCCCCTTTGCTTTTCTGAAATATCTCTTCTTCGTCTTGGATCAACATGTAAGCGTTTTCATTCTGTTCAAGCAACGGTCTCTGGGTTGGATGAATCATTTTGTAGCTATATGATTTTTCTGTTGGTTTTTTCTTTACGTTACTGCGATTAGAACATTGATTTGGTTGTTTTTTCATTTGGGTTTTTGTTGCGGAGGGGTTGTAGAATACGGATTTGTTCGATGGTTTCTATTATAACTTTCCGACGGTTTTCGTGGTTTGTGTTTGGGCGAGTTGGATCGTGATTTTGATCTTAATGAAGTTTGTTGAGTTTGGTTTTCAGTTTGCTATTTCTTTGAGAATCTGTCTGGAAACTTATTTTTCTTCTTGTTTCAAACTATTGGGATTGGAACCTTCCTAGTCCAATTTTGTTTCTGGGGTTTTATTTGCCAACTTCTGATTGGCCTATACTTGAGGCTCTGCATCTAAATACACGTTTAACTGAAGGATCGTCTCGTCTGACTAAATTCTTAATTCGTAATTGAATTTTGTGAACTGGACTGGAGGATCGCCTTCTTTTTGAAAATCTGCCTAATGTGAGATTCTGTAATTTTCTGCAGATATTCAATCTCGTCTCCTTCACCCTAAGAGTTGGTAATGGGATCATTATCAGAATCTGAACGTGAAGTAAATCACAGGAAGCCTTATGGTATCAGATTTTTGGAGTGGATAAGGAAAAGGCCTCTTTCCTACAAGGCTCACCAAGCCATTGTTCTACTTGTCACATTCTTGGCTTATGCTAACTACCATGCCTCTCGAAAAACTACGAGCATTGTTAAGAGCGCCCTTGATCCGCTATCTCCCGAATTGGGCTTGAAGTTCCCATGGAAATCGAGCTATTTGCGTGCACCGGTTAATAGTAGTAACCGTGTGTCGCTCTCTGCAGGTGGTTGGGCTCCATTTGATGCAGCAGAAGGGACATCTTTACTAGGTGAGCTTGATTTGGCTTTCCTAGGCGTATATGCT